CCCAATGCTCTGAGGGCAATGGGATGCCAAGCAGCAGCCTGCCTTTACGGTAACATTCAGCATTATACTGAAGAAACTGGGTGCAGCTGGTAGCAGTGACTGCAAGAAGAAAAAGCCATCCCTATTATCCTCCCCCAAAAACCCCAAAGCAAACAAAAATCCATGTAACCAAAAAACCCCCAAACTTTTCTGTGAAGTCCACAGAAAATACTAGCCTTGCTGTAGAAAACAACCCACCCAACCCATGCACCTGCTCTTGTTTCAGGCTGTCAGTGCTGAAATTTGTTTCATATATGCTAAATACTTAAGAGTAAAATACATATAATTTATACCTTTATGATAAGTGTTTGTTATCCTTTATAATACATGAAGATCCACATATTTTCAGGGAAAACAGTCCAGTCCATTTGAAGTGTTAAATGACCAGCCAGAAAAGTAATTTAAATGGCATCTCTAACGTACAACAAAACCACTGGAATTTTCATGATGTGAACACATGAATAGTACTATCTTTACTGGGAAGCAAAGTAAAAGCAGGGGATAGTTAAGATTGAAGACCCCCCATCCAACCCTGCCATCTAACAGATGCTGAGTACTGGAATAGTCAGCAGGTACTGGATCTTCTGGTAACAGTTTTGTGAGACTGTCCTGGTTGCTTTTGTCAGAAACAGTGACATTAGCAACCCACCATACTCTAAGGCAAGCCAGATACACTGTCTCCCGAACTTAAGAATCTTCATTTTACTCTATTTCATGTAAGTACAAATCTTATTCAAGTAAAGATTAGCAAAGTAATTGTTAACATTAAATCTGATTATAAGCTTGCTTTCTTCCCTGTTTAGAATTCCAAGTCTCTGATGGCAATATTTATTCTATTAATAGTAGTAGAGTTTAGCATTTAACTTACAGCTGCTTCAGTGATAGCATGAAAAAAATGAAAAGGATTGTCTGACAAACCCGTTGTAAAAAGCCAGCTAAAGCACTTTTGTTAAGCTGTGCCAGGAAAACTAGCAGGCTTTTCAATTTATTTACTATTTAAAAGCTAAAAAAAAAAAACCAAACAGAAACAACACTTCAAAAACATTTTTCTAGGAAGTTTAGGGTTTGTTCTGACTCCAAGTTACTCAAAAATGAGTATGTCCAACAAACGCAGTACATATGCTAACTTGTAGAAGACTCCTCCCTTCTGAAAGCAGAAAGAGCTGACAAACCTACACATGCTGCTTGCCCCTGAAAATACCCATTGAAAAAAAAAAAGGAAATACAAGGAATTAAATGACAAAAAAAGCCTTTATTAAAACTTTTCAAGTTACAATGATAAATGGTGGATTGTCACTTTTTATGATCAGTGAGTTTGGCTCTTACACCACTCATCAAGCTTACAGGGAATTGTGTTACAGGTCTGAAGTACAACTGTTTGTGCTGCTGTGTAGCAGCCTGCTACAGTGTACTTTACCACTCTATAGTACCTTCACACCTAGGCAGTGCTTCAGAAAGGTTCATTGTGGTAACTGCTTGCACACCACTTCCTTTCATTGCTAAGTAAGAAGAAATTATTAATTTGGTTATTGAATAATACCATGTAAAGATACCAAGGGTAAATACAATTCAATCATTTTGGATTCAAACCCTCCCCCCCATGCTCTCAAGCAGTCACACTATTAGAAAAATGTATTTCTATTCCACCCTTAAACTTTTGTATGGCAGTTGAACCCTCTAACAGAAATAAATTGCTGTAGTTTTTCTTTTTGACTACTTGGATCCTGTAGAGAGCAGAGCAATCAGTCCAGATGAAGCACTTATAGAAAGAATATAGTTTCTGTAGGGAAAAGGTTAAGGATATATACATATGTAGCTATACCACCTCTTTAATACAGAAAATTTAGAAGCTTTATGAAAAACAAGGAATTGAAATGAACTGCACGTTATCAAGAGAGCAATCTCACAACTCACATCATAAATATAGCTGATAATGACAACACATAGGAGTAGGACTACAGTTGTTTCAAGAGAGATAATAAAGGATACACAGTGGGGTTGAAGTTCTTCAGCACAAAAAATGAAGCAATGATAACCAAGACCAGAAAGAGAGTATTGTTGTAGAAGATAGAAAAAGTTGTTGCTTCATAGTCTGCAACTTCATTTTTCTTCCACAGAATTCTAGGAAGAAGTAGAGACATTATTTCAAACATATTTAAATCAGTGCATATCCTGGCACATCCACCATTATGAAGCAATTAACACCCAGAGGACTGTAAACCACATACCCTTGCTTTTCTCATAGCCAGCTTCCTGAAGACAGAGCACAGCAAGAACTACCAGTCAACTCATTAGGCAAAACCCTGCTTATAGCATGCACTCGTACACTCAAATGACTTACGCTCGTTTTCCTACCAGGGACATCAAAACTAGCCCCTCATAAATAGTATTTCTTGTGAGCCTGAATCTGTTAAGATGTTACCAGTGTGCCTGGAAATGAGTAGGGAAGATAAGGCTTTTTCCTCCAAAGACGTGATGGCTCATTACCTCACATGTTGTACAGTCCTAATGGGCATCTATGCTAATAGCAAGTGCTTCCTGATGCACCCATCAGGCATGTGTGTGGATTTCCATTGGTATAAGCTATTCAACTGGAAATCGACACATCAACACATGCCAGGTATAACCATGAGAGTAACGAATACAACCAGTGATTAGTGGTGCAGTCTAGCAGTGTATGGAAATGCTAGCCTGAAGGAACTTGCATGCCACTCTTGTGGCATCACACCAGCCTGTCCTCAAGGAAAGGAGCTTTTCTTATTTCTGAAGACAGTGGTGATGCTTACTCTTCACAGAGTTATCATAAGGGATGTACAATAAGGTGTTTTGCTTTGCAGCTCAAGGACTGAGAGGTTGCCCTACAGGACCTTAATGATAAATGTTTCAATGTGTAAGACCTTACATTGATAACTCACCTTGACAAGGCTTTACAGATGAACAAAAAGCTGACAGTACAGCTTCTACTTATCAGAAGATAGAAAAAAAAAAAAAACCAACCATGGCCCAGTACCTCTCATTGCCTTAAAGATGGTAGGCAGTATTACAACAAGGGAGAGGAACAAACAGGATTACTCTTGTTTGTTTGGAACAAAGAGGATTACCTTTCATCCTTCTCCTTACGAGACATCTTCCTGTTGTCTGCTTCAGACAGCTTGCGAGTAACTTCTTTGGAAACGGCATCTTCTCTTTTCTGTGCCACTCTGTAAGCAACATCATTTATGTTAAAGTTGAAAAAAAAGAAAACCACACCCCAACCAACAAAAATCCCAATAAAACAACTCTGGGATTACAGGAAGTTGTATTTACAGTGAAGAATAAAACTTAGCCAAGACACTGATCAGTTTTTCCTGAGAAGCAAAGTAGCTTTGCTGTTTCATTGCGCTCTTAACTGACAAGAATTGTCTATTTAATAGTAATGAGAAAGATAACAGAAACCAACTAGGAGAGACTTCTGTGTAAAATAGTTTCTGGAGTAACATTTCAGACATTCTAATTCATAAAAGAAGATGTTGCAAATGCTGGTTTTGTTAAATCAGTTAATAATAAGTTCTACTTCAAACAGCCACCAAACTTACTTGTGTTTGAGAACAAACTTGACATTCTTGTATGCAAAAGCTACTAGATAGGTACTGATGAGGGTCATTACACTATACAGGACTGCAGACTGAACAAGATCCATATGCCATATCCTCCAATAAAGCCCTTAAAAAAAAAACAGAAAAAAAAAGACATTTTGAGTGGTTTCCCTCTCCAAGACAAATGCCACAGGAGTTCTACACAGGTTACCAAGCTCTGTAATTCAGCCCTGGCTTTGCAAAATCACTCTGAGGGCTTTCAAACTGCATTAGAAATACTTTGGAACAAAGAAGTCTGCTTTGCTTGTGGCTGGAAGGAGACCACATCACACGCAGCTGAGAAGCAGCCCAGCACAGCCAGACTGACACGTCAGTGATCGACCGGTAGCTCGTCCATCTTTACCCACCACAGAGCCATCACCCTGCCCGCTATTCCAAATGGCACCGGCTTCCAAACTGGATCTAACACAGCACAGAGACAGTCAAGATAATCCTAACTGAGACCGGCTCAAGGCGGCGAGTCCCAGCACCCCGGTGGACCCCAGACCGCAGTCGCCAGCGGGTCACGAACCCGAGACAGGCTGCGAGGAGTCCCTACAACCCCTCCAGTCCTGCCGCTCGCCCCTTCCCAGGGCCTGCCGCCCCCTAACCCGCGATAGCGCAATCCCGCCTCTCACAGATGGGGATGGCAGACACGATGAAGGCGTTGCCGAAGAAGAGCGCGGAGGACTTGGCAGAGAGATTACGGCTGAAGTCCTGCAGGAGCAGGTCCTCCTCGGACTGCTGCCGCCCCCCGGGGCCGCCTTTGGGAGCCATGGCGGGTAGCAGCACCGAGACAGTCAGCGCTCGGCGACTGCATCCGGGTCAGGCCGCCAGCGGGGCGGGGGCGGGTCTGTGCCACAACACTTCCGGGGCTGGGAAGGTTCCACCTCTGCCGGGCGGCTGTTAAGGCCGGTACGACAGTTACTCGCCTGCCCATTGTGAGTGCGGGCAAGTCCCAACCTCGGCGGCCCCGATGCGGCGCCGCGGAGCCTGCCCGCTCCCCGCAGCGGGGCTGCCCCGGGCTGCCGGCCGGCTCCGCGGCATGGCGCGTTGGAGGCCGCCGGCCTGTGGGAGCGCGGGTCCTGGAGGTTGAGGCAAGTGAGTAGTGGGGGCACGCCGGAGGACGCGCTCCCTCTGGGGCTGTGGCTGAAACTGTAGCGGTTTGCCTCGGGGAAGGAGCGAAAGCCCTGCTAGCAGTCGGCTCGTCCCCCGTATGTCCTTATTATCCGTAAAAACCCTAACTTCAGCTCCCACAGAGTTGGTGCCGTGTGCTTATCTGGTTCAAGTCTAGTTGTGCTTCTGCAAAGCATTTCTGTGTCATTTAACTCTTTGAAGTGTTCTCTAATCTCCCTCACACACACCAGTTTGGGAAGCCGCAGAAGGGGATCGGTTCTAAACGGTCCATCTACAGTTAGTGATAAAAGCCTGTGGGAGCCCACAGAAATTTCGGGGATTAACAGCAGCGTCTTGCTTGAAAGTGTGAAGGGCCGGCCGATGTGATACAGCTTTTGGGATGTGGCTCCGATGGTCTGGGGTGACTGTAGTCCTCCTTATCTCCTGCAACAGCGCTTTTTCCTTAGTACTTGGAACGTCTGTGAGACGGCTTTATTTACCAGAGTGTGTATCTTTTTAAAATTTAATGAAAGGAATTCTTCCACTTATTTCACCCCAGTTGCTAATCTTTGCTTGCAGGAAAAGATACGAAGTGCACGCAATGAGGGAATACTAGCTGAAAATGAAGTTAAATTTATATAATGAAAAATCATAACTCATTCTGATGGAGTTCTATAAAACACATGTAGTACGACTCTGTCTTTTAACAAATTTCCAAGGCCAAACTGGGAGTGGATTTTCAGGATTCAAAGTGAACTGAATGTCGTGTGCTAGCAGAATGGTATTGCTAATGTATTATCTACAGACAACTATGGGAGGTACCCTTCTGCTGGCAAGACCTTCCTTCTTGGCTTGGAAATACCTCTTCATTCCCAAGCTGGGTTAGCGGCACATTAGCTGATCAGATGAACTGCAGAAATTCTGAGTATCACAGAAACGTCTGCCTGTGCCCAGCAGACGTGTGTGTGCGCTTTGCTGGATTTGCAAGTGTCCCTGGCTTTTATTGATTCATTTTTTATGAGTATCTGTTATGTGAAACACATGGATACCTCTTTCTTCTCATGTCTCTCTTCCTTACTCCCTGCATCTCTGGTTATAGTAACCTGTTCAGAAATAGCTTCAGCAGTTCCTGGCTTCCACTGGTGGGGAATGCTGTTTGCCCATTAGATGGCATTCTGAAATCTGTGCTGAGGATCATGCTCCAGAAAGAGTGGAAACCAGTGTTGGTTTCTTTGTAAACCACATTAAAACTAAACGCATGGTAGGTAACATTACTGCTCAGTGTTACCAGTCATGTGAGTTTTCTTATTAAAGAACATTGTTAAGAGTCATACAAAGTAGTTGGAATCTGTGGGAAAGATAAGGATTGTGTCAAGATTCAGATGTAATAACTGACGCTGTTCTTGCACAGGTTTATTCCTTCCGCTCACCTGAGTGAATTTATTTTCTGTTACGGAATGTAATGAAGTCTAACTTCCTGTTCTTGGTTTGGGTTTACATGGGAAGGATGCTGTTGTTTTGGAACAAAATCTGCCTGGTGACCATCTGCCTCCATTAAGATGAAGTATGACATTGTTTTAGGCAGTGCAATGATGAATGATTTTAATGAAAAAAACAAATGGATACTTTGTTTTTTTTAAAAATCCTGGCACTGCAAACTCTAAGCAGAACTCTGCATACAACAAACCTGTCACTAGAGCTTCACACTCACTCTATGTGTGCTCTAGTGGCTTCCATAACAGTAAATTGGACAACCAATTTCTGTCAGAATAATACAAATTTTTGCTTAAGTGCCTAAATTTGCATTGTCCTGTCTGAATCCCCATTCAGAAACTGCTGGGAACATAAGGCATCAAAATCAGAGGAACAATGGCTCAATGACCCAAAACCACAAGTTCTGATAATAGAAATAGTAATGCCATTATCTTTGTAACTTACAAAGTATGTTCCTTAACATTTTTTTTTTTTCCCTAAAACACAGAAACAGTACTAAATATTCTGTAAACGCATGGATTATCTTTACTGCTCTCACTTTTTCTCTAAATCTCTAAGCTGGACCAAATCTTAAAATAAGGGCAGTGACATTTCCCAGCAGGATTTGTTTTGTCTATTTTATTGTTGCCACTTATCAGTGTGAAGTATAGACTCCAAAATATGTTTGCATTGGATTGGAAGGTGGACTCTCCTAGGCAGGTTATTAAATAAGTCTGCTCTTTAGAAGAACTTTGTCATTTTTCATGCCAGTATGAGCCTTAATGTCCCAACATCTAAGAATGGTTTTCATAAATATGGCTGTCTTACAAAAAAACAAGACAGCTCCCCCAGTGAGTCCATAACTTATTACTAGGGTTTTTTTTTCAATTGGTTAATTTATGCCATCTCTTCCTCTAGGTGTTGAAATCCTAAAAGAATCCCTAATGTGCAGAAGGGGAAGTTCCTGCAAGACAGCCCAGACAGGGGGAAGCCTCAGGTGGGTCAAGAACACAACAGGAAAGCTGTTGTGGTGGCTCTTCCCATTACCACAACAGTGCTATGAACAGGTGCCCTGGGACAGATGAGCCATGAGTCTTTATAGCTGTAGTAGCAAAAGCAATACCACGACACAGAGTTGTTCTAAAAGTGTTTCCTTTTCTCATGTGTGTCTCCAGTGGGTCAGTGTGGGAATATCTGGGATGAAACTGGTGTCTGGACTGCGTGTGCGGAGGGAGGAGTTGGCTGTTTCAGCAGTGGATGCCTGAGGTTGTATAGCTGTACTCATCTAGCCAATAGTCTTGAGCATCTTGGTTATTATTGGTCACTGGTTAGCAACTTTCTAAACATCTGTTTATTTCTCTCCCTCTTTTTATTGATGTGTTCCATCAAATTACTATATTACAGAATCTTGTATAGCAGTTCTTTCAAGCTGCATTTGCTACATTTTTTCACATTGCATAGCAACTTTTCTGTCAAGACTCTGTTCAGGCTAGCCTAGCTATGCTTACCTAAACGCTTGGGAACTCACCCACAGAAGTTGTTTCTGCAAGTAAGACTTCTCCACTGCATTGAAAATTCTGTATCACTCTGAGCTGCAGTTCTTTCTTAGCATAGCTCTGCTGTAAAGATTACAGGTTCTTACACGTGACAATTTATACAGTCCTTCTAATGTAGTTCAAAGACTCCTGATAACTGTTTTCTAGCTTGCAAAACCTGTAGAAAAAACTCTCCTGACATCAGTACATTATGTGTGAACAGACCAAACATGACCATTTTTGCTGTCACCCAAAGTTAATATTAGGATGTCCCAGTATTTCTTATACCTAACTGAATTGTTCACTTGTTAGTTAGCTGACATCTTGTTTAACAAAAGAACTCTTAAAAACTCTCAGCCAGAAATGCATCTTTTTCAGGGTAATGATTACTATCACATTCCAACAGTAACAGTTGTTATCAAGAAGAAATACTGACTGGCAAGAATACTGAGTCCCACATAAAATAATATTTGTGATTAAAATACATGTAAAGGCAGTAGTGACTATAGCTGATCTCTGTGTTGTACAATTCATGTTTGTAAAAGTAACATAGAACATAGTGTGCTGTGTGGAATTACCTCTATAACAAAAAAAAAATATTCTCAACATGGACTTTGACACACCCTCTCTGTACTTTGCTTTTATAACACTAGTTTGTCAGAGTAAATCTTCAGAGTTACACTTAACATATACATGACATTTTAAAATTGCTTATTTCAGATGGTTATACAAAGTAAGGCAGCAGTAAGTTCAGCTGTCTTTCAGAAAAGGAGAGTCTCATTTCTCTGGTGTTGTCTCCCCATCCTTGCACGTGTTTTGTTCAATAGTGCCAGTGATGTATACTCCATTGTACTTGGGGGTGTGTATGTTCTCTTTTTAAGTTAGTCTAAGAAAGATATTGTGCCTTTGGCTTCGTGTTAATGTTTACCCTGAATATGATGTTTTACTGTAGACTTGAAGCATCTGTGCAGTCTCTTGCATCTCTTTCAGTTCATTATCTACATGCCATAGTACTGTATGCATTTTAGTTTAAATCATACAACAGCCAGAGGAATGATCCCATTCATATGAAAATACCTTTTTATTTTCCATATGTAACTAAATTGTAAATCTATATCTAAAGATAACTTGGCTGACCCTTGCAGCCATTAATTCTTGCTGCTTACTTACCAACCATTGCGGTTTTGTGTGCTTCTCTGAAAGGTTTTTTTTTTAAGTACAAGACAATATCATTTACTTTCGGTAACCAACTCACTGTCAAGTTCCCTGCAGGTGATCCTTCCTTTTGCCCTTATATAATTGTTGTAGCTGAACCATTTCATTTCACAAAGATACCTGTCTACTTTGTTGTTTTAACTTAAGTAATTCACTGAAATTGAGAACACTTCCTAGTAGTGTAGATGCAGACTAAAAAATTTGTGATGAAGACTTAATATTGAAGCTATCTATTACAATTCTTTGTGGAAATTGTGTGTTCTCCTCATTCTCATTATAAGAAATCTGGACAGATTTTCTTTATTTCCTCTAACATCTCTCCCTTCCCCCTTCCCACCTTGTTAGTTAGGAAGGAAAATTCCATAGCTTTGAGAACTGCTAGGTTTTTACATTCACATCTAAATCTAAATTCAGACTAACTTTCTTAATGGCATTTGTTCTAGAGTCAGTGGACTAAACTATATCCAGGAATTAAATTAAAGCAGAGCAAAAGCTTCACTATAGTTAAGACTGACACACACACACACCCCGCCCCCTTTGTTCAAAATTGAACTCTTCTGATATTCTGAAATCCCTGTGTTTGCTTGGATGTATTGAAATTTCTCATGTGGTAAGGGATTAGTGTGCCGAGTTGTGGATCAACAGAATGGGGATTACTGAAATACAAAAGAAAAACCTTTGAATAAACACGCGTGACACTCAAACTGAGCAGCTCTGGCTCTCTTTGTGTGAACTAGTTGGATGAGAAGCTTTCCAATTCTTCTGTGTACTGTGCTTTTTTTTTTTTTCTTTTTTTAAGCATTCTGTGGTGTCTGAGGTTTGAAAGTGGAGACACAATCTGGCTGTATTCTTTTTCAGCCAAACCAGCTCCTCGATGTGATTTAGAATGTAGCCCCCAAAAGAGCACAGCTGTCACAGGTGGAGGAGCAGTCTGGGGCTGGTAAGGAATGGCACTGGCTTAATACAATTTTGTCTCCAGATGCTGTTTTGAGAGGATAGCTTTCTTATCTGGGTGTGGGTTTGCAAAAATCTATGACTCTGTAAGGGGAAGAGAATGTCTGAGTTGCTGTTGTGGTTTAAGCCCAGCCAGTAACTCAGCATCATGCAGCCATTCCCCTTCCACCTCCAGATGGGATGGGGACATCTGGAAGAATGTAAACCCCATGGGTTGAGATAAGAACAGTCCAGTAACTAAAGTATAATATAAAACTATGACTAATAATGATAAGGGAAATAACACGGGGAGAGAATATAAAACTAAAAAGGGAAAAGGAAAAAACAATAAACACAAGCAATGCACAATACAGTTGCTTACCACCTGCTCACCCAGCCCTACCTGAGCAGTAATCTTCCCTTCCAGGTAACTTCCCCCAGTTTATATACTGGCCATGACATGCTGTGGTATGGAATACCCCTTTGGCTAGTTTGGGTCACGTGTCCTGTCTCTGCTTCCTCCCGGCTTCTTTTGCCCCTCCTCACTGGAGAGCATTAGAGACTGAAAAGTCTGAGTTAGAGTAAGCGCTATTTAGCAACAACCAATACAACAGTGTGTTGTCAGCACTGTCTTCGGGCTAAAGCCAAAACACAGCACTGCATTGCATCAGCTACTAGGAAGGAGAAAAATAACTGTTAGCAGTTGAAACCAGGACAGTTGCCCTTCTCTGTGTTAGGAAATGGGATGATGTTGCAATTATCATTGAGGTGGACAAAGTAGAGTACATTATCCAGTGCTGTGGCTTCATGAGCTGTTGTCTTTTACCTTCTGAGGATGCTGCACTGAAATAATGGATTGCTATGCTCACCTTTAATTTCTAAAAGCTGGAAGTTGCTGGATTTCTGTGACACTTGCTATATATGAAGGGAGCTCGGTGTAGCATATGTGATCCATTTTTGGTGTTTTGAAATGGTCTCTTCAGTTTCTCTTCACTGTTTAAGTTCACTCTCTCTGCTTCAGTTTCCTCCTTTGGCATTTTTAACATTCTGGTTGATAAGTTCTTCTGCCTGTAGACCAAATTAATAAAATGTTATCTATTAATAGAATCTCAGGGGGCTGCCTTGCTGAGTGTTTATCCCAGAAAGAGCATGGAACTAACCATACTTTTGAAAAGCAGTTATCAAATGCAGTATTTGGAAAATAGCTAAACTCTACAAGTATGAGTAAACCTAATATTCAAGATCTGGGGCATCTTTTTCTCAAACATTGAGGTCTAGTTTTCATGCTTTGAGATCTTCAGGCAAAACTTGCAGGGAATATAAAGAAAAGCTTCTAAAAGCAGGAAATAATTATGGTAGTCTACTTCATCATTTTGCGTATCACTTTTTATTCTTGTCAAACCCAAAATCTCCTGCTTTGTGTCCTGTGGCGGTTTGTGCAGACTGACGCTGCGCATATATGCTCTACAGCCGGATGTGATCCAAGGGTGGCAGACAAGCAATTTCTTGTGTGGAGGCCACTGGAGAACTCTTGTCACCTGCTCAGGAGAACTCTTCTAGACATGCAGCTCTGGGTGTGCCACCTAACATGGAGTTGCTATATGCTTTCCTTTTATAATGTAGTGGAGAAATACAGGGTGAAAGTAAAGGAGCTGTGTCATTAATGCTGCTGCACTAGGAGAGGCTGAGGAAGTTGAATGAATAAGCCTTTACTATAAGCAGACCTATGTGTTTTGTGTGCGTGGAAGACGATCGGTAGGATGGCAAAATAAGCTAAGGGTGTGACTTGAGATGGAGTACTGGTGTAGGGCCAAGGTTTGTTGCTAGTTAACGCAGCCAAGTCTGGAACCATCTATTTAGTTGCTGCCTGTGATTATGTATTTAGGCAAAGAGGATGCCAGGCAATCAAACAGTTGTTTAAATGTCAGATAGTCAGCCTCTTTCTTTAATAGCATGCAGACTATATGCAGTTCACGTGTAGCTCCCACACCAGGAGTACATACGGTGATCTGCAGTGGGATTATGCCGGTCCAGTTCTGCAGTCTGAATCCCTGTTAGTGGGAGCATGTCAGTCAGATGGGATTTCTGAGTCTGAAATGTGTCATCCAGGCACCCACCCTCTACTGCTCCATCCTTTAGCAATGTAGGAGGATCTCATGGTGGTTGGTGTCGGTTTACACCTGTGAGTTAGCTCTGGGGTTTCCCATTCCTTCACCCTTGAATTCAGCAAACATCTTCTGCATCTTAGCCATAGGAAAATTTTAGCCTGTAATGTGTAGTCAGAAGAGTTGGCCATTCTTGTACTGATGGTTCC